GCTCCAAGTGAAGGACAGAGCGTTTGGTGCTAGACCTGATGCTCTGCTGGCATGTGTTGCAAATAAATCATTTTAAAATGAATTATTTTGTCTTTCACTGCTATAAAAAAATATCTAAATATACAATAAACCAGGTAGTTTATTCCGCTGTGGCAACCCCTGTTAAATAAGGGACTTAGACGAAGAAAAACAATAATAATTGAACATTAAACCATATATATATACAGTACGTGTATATTTGCTACAGTTTTTTTTTCAACTGTTTACATACAAAATCTTTTCTTTTCATTTCATTTCTGAAACATCTTACTCAAAATGCAAAAATACACAGCAAATCTCCAAATCCTGTTTCTCAGACTTGAACTTAGTTTTCAATCACATAACAAACTTTTTTCAAAACACAATTCTCTAAAACACAAACATTTAACAGGAAGTTACTTGCTTTTCTTTTCCAAACATAACCAATTAAATGCTACACTTATCCACCAGATCACACGTCACACACACAAACACACTCACTCACATGTGCAGAAACTAACTCCTGATCTTATCTCTAACCAATCACTGCTTCATTGTAATTTAGGCCAAAGGTGATGGGATACTTAGGTGTTCTGGTCCTAAACAAAACGATTTACCACCCATCCACAATTTGTAGTTTTGTAGCTACCCCATATTCACCTTTTCTAAATTCTGAATTCCTCTAAAAAGGAAAAGAGAAATTCCTTCACCGTTCTTCACTGTATGCTTTTTTAAATATACATTTTTACAGTATGTTTATGTTTTTTGTATGCTATATACACCAATAATGTTTTGCCTAATAAATATTTTCGGTTTCTAGATGTGATTGGTGTTTACAGTGTACCTTTTCCCCCTCTCAGCAGATTACTGTCACTGTAGAAAACCTACTGAACTGTGGATATAAGCCCATGAAAGAGCAAAGAGCTTTGAATTTAGAACAACAGTGTTTACATGCTGTAACCAAACATTTACTCTTATAAAGGACGTGTTTGCCTTTTGATGCAAATGCTTCATTCTGACGTGTTTATGGAATATTGGGTGCATTTTTGAAGGGGATTTGAGGCATTTTGCATTTTGTGTGTGCAGTTTTGAGATTTGTAGAGTTTTGAAAAATAAAAGGGTGACATCGTTTTGAACATGTGTGTAAGCAGTTGGAAAAAACTGTAAGACATCTTGAATGTACATTGTATTATTATAATGTATTGTTACATATGTATGTGTGTGTGTGTGTGTGTGTGTGTGTGTGTGTGTGTGTGTGTGTGTGTGTGTGTGTGTGTGTGTGTGTGTGTGTGTGTGTGTGTGTGTGTGTGTGTGTGTGTGTGTGTGTGTGTGTAGTTGTAGTCAGAATTTTTATTTATTAAATATTTCCCAAATGATGTTTAACAGAGTAAGGAATTTTTCACAGTATGTCTGATAATATTTATTTTCTTTTGGAAAAAGTTTTATTTGTTTTATTTTAGCTAAAATAAAACCAGTTTTTTTTTTTTTTACACTATTTTAAGGACAAAATTATAAGCCCCTTTAAGCTACTTTTTTTTTTTGATTGTCTACAAAACAAACCATCATTATACAATAACTTGACTAATTACCCTAACCTGCCTAGTTAACCTAAGCAACCCAGTTAAACCTTTAAATGTCACTTTAAGCTGTATAAAAGTGTCTTGAGAAATATCTTTTAAAATATTATTCACTGTCATCATGGCAAAGATAAAAGAAATCAGTTATTAGAAATGAGTAATTAAACTATTATGTTTAAAAATGTGTTGAATAAATCTTCTCTCCGTTAAACAGAAATTGGGGGGAAAAATAAACAAGGGAGCTAATTCAGACTTTAACTGTATATATATATAAAGCATTTAAGCTTTAAGTCGCATTTTAGTTTTATATCAAATTATATGAAGACTACAGTATATTGTGCATTTTACAGTATATTGAATAAATGTATATTTATTACCCCCTTTGGGAAAAATTGTTGTAAATGTACACTTTATATACTGCTAAGTGACTAAGTGTACATAAGTAAAATGTCAAGAAATGTTAAAATTAATATGTATTCTTACTTCCAAAACAAATGTGTTTTTGCTTATGTAGCATTTTATTTTTCATAGAATGTATATTAAGTATATAACAGTCCTTTCAGGGTTTTGTAAGTCCAATGTTTCATGAGATTAAAAATGAATAATTTAGCAATATTTTTGTGTATTTGCACAGCAAAATACAAGATTTCAAGCAGATGAAGCCATACGTTTTAAGAAAGCTTTTAAAAAACTATAAGTCATCACAAAATCAGTAATTTTAGGCAGATTTTAGGCTGAAATGTCCCTGAAATATAATGTGGGGACTGATTAAATATCTTGAATTTATTTTTGTAACCAGGGTGGTGATGTGGCTCAGTGGTTAGCACAGTCGCCTCACAGCAAGAAGGTTGCTGGTTTGAGCCTCGGCTAGGTTAGTTGGTGTTTCTGTGTGGAGTTTGCATGTTCTCCCCATGTTCGCGTGAGTTTCCTCCAGGTGCTCCGTTTTCCCCCACAGTCCAAACACATGCGGTACAGGTAAATTGAATAAGCTAAATTGGCCGTAGTGCATGAGTGTGAAAGTGTACGGGTGTTTCCCTGGAAAGGCACCCGTTGCGTAAAAAAACAAATGCTGGATAGTTGGCGGTTCATTTCGCTGTGGCGACCCCTGATAAATAAATAGACTAAGCTCAAAGAAATTAATGATCCTTTTGGAAACTACAGTATTTTCCTCCTGCTCCAAGTGTAAACCACAAAATTAGTGCTTAGAACAAACATAATAATAAAAAGAACAACAAATTAAGCAATTAAGAATGAAGAAATATACTTAAATTATATGTCATCTATATATTTGTTTCTCAAATAAATACATTTAATTTTAATTGTATTTAAATCCTCACTTTGTATTAATATATGGTACAGAATACTGCTATTTGTTTACTCTAGTAAATGCAAACCTTAATAAGCAGTGCTTAATAATGCATCTATAAGCCTGTTTTCCAAAACATTGCAATTTTACTGTAAAACAAGAAAAAACACTGATAATACAAAAGCGTGTGTGTGCGTGTGTGTGTGTGTGTGTGTGTGTGTGTGTGTGCGCGTGTGTGTGTGTGTGTGTGTGTGTGTGTGTGTGTGTGTGTGTGTGTGTGTGTGTGTGTGTGTGTGGTTTAAGTTTAAACATGAGAGTAAATGAGACAGGCCAGAAAGAGAGAGTCATGGGGAAGCGGGACAGGTTTTTACGGTGGAGGATTAAGGAGACAGTGATTCCTGTGTCTCTGTCTGGTGTCTCTGATAAGGAGGATCAGCAGGGGCTTCTCTATGCACCCCTCATCAGGACCACCGAATAATGCACTCCCCCCTCTGTGCCACCCTATCACATTTTTAAATAGCCCTCAACATCAGCATTTGTTTGACACACTCAGACGTCAATGATCGAGCGGTTTGTGATCTCACTGTACAGTTCATGTTCTTCTAAAAACCTTGACCCACTAAAAAAATCTTTAAACTATTGATCTGAAAGCAGGGACAAAAATCCTCAAAACACACAGAGAAAAAAGGTGCTGTTTGTTCAAGATAAAAGCTTTATTTAATATATCAGAAATAATATTTAATATAGATATAGAAATAATATAATATCAAAACAAAATTATATATATATATATATATATATATATATATATATATATATATATATATATAAAATTGGATGTTTCTAAATAAAATAAAAACAATTATTGTTAAAAAACTACATGTCCCATTTTGATGTCCATGTATTTTATATACATAAGCATATCATACGCACTTAAAGTGTCAGCTTCAGTTGTTCAAAATAAAATGTCAAAATATTGAATAAAATAGGATTCGGCAGAGAAAATAAGCATTGAACACATCATGTTTTTTTTTTTTTTTTTTTGCTGGAAATAATATATCTAAAGGAGCTGTTGACATGGAATTGAACCTGATTTTTTGTAAAACCCCAAACAATACAAAAGTAAAAATAAAACTACAAAAAAAAAAAAACTCAAAAAAAAAAGTATTTATGTGTGACAAAAATGTAATGAGACAAGGAGAAAGTATTGAACCACTGAAATGTATTTATTATTTTATATAAAAGGCTTTTTTGGTGATGGCAGCTTAAAGATGCCTCTCGTTTGGAGAATGAAGTCACATGGATTGCTCAGGTGTGAGTTTTTTTCACAGACTTCAACAGTGTAAAAAATCTTGATGGTTTTGTGGGTCTCATCTATCAAATCTGATCTTTAATTTGTATTTTATACTGGGTTTAAGTCACTTGATTGGCTGGGCCATTGTAAAGCTTGATTTCTTTCTCAGAACGCATTTGAAAGCTTGCTTGGCTGTCTATCGAATCATTAGTTTGCTGAAATGTCCACTCTGGTTTCATCTTCATCATCCTGATAATGTAGGTGTTGGACAGAAACAGCTAATATTAATTTACAATGAAGAAATGCAGAAGGTAGAGGAACTACTGAGGAGAACGTCATTGGGTGAAGAACTACTGAGAGATATTAGCTGCTGTCTGGGCTTTCACTGAAATATGAAATATTTTCACTTAGAAACATGTTTTCTGAGAAAAATGGTGGTGTTCAATACTTATTTTCCTCGCTATAGTTTTATAATTCTTGATTTTGTTATTATTTCTTAAACTTATTTTTATCTGTACTTAATAAAATATATAAAAGAACAAGTTGTGACAAACAATCAAAGCTGTGACAAACAAACAAATGTATAAAGCCCAAAGGTTTGATGGTTAATGGCAAAGTAGAAATGTAAACTTTCTATTTGTTTTTGGAATAAATTGTTTCATTAAGTGACATTTGGGTGCTTTTCCTAATTTAAAGTAAATATTTATGATTTTGTTGCGAAACAACTATTTGGGAATATTGTTTCTATCGAAACCAATGAGTCTACAGCACACACTATTTTTGAAATAATCATAATGATCTGTACCTGTAAATGGACACGTCCTCAACGAGGTCATTAGTCTCTGTGTCTGCGATGATGATTCCTTTGGGGGAAACAGTGAGGGTCACTTTCCGAAACTTCTTTGCACTGGCCCGAGCCTGCGTGAGGTTCACAAGAACAAACCTTTTGTGTGAATTTCGAACAGACATATTTGTCACAGTCAACTCAATAATGTCACTCATAACTCACTGACCATGAACAATAACCTGTAAAGGTCAGTGAAATCCATGTGGGCTATTAACTCAAGGCCGATGAGTACTGTGCAAGAGTCAAACAGAAACAAAACTTCATATTGGTGATTCTATAGGTAATAGCTGGTAGATTATTTCTTTATAATATTTTTATTATTGCTTTTAGATTATTTCTCTCCATGATTTTTTAAAATAATTTTAATAATTTGTCTCATTGTTAAAATAAAATGATACAAACCATAACAATTTAATATTTTCTGCAAAATAGTGTCATAAAGCTGAAATTAATGACATTGTGTTGTTTATCTCAGTGTATCTTTTCTATCATTTATAACTGTGTGATTTTAATATTTAGCTTTATGATTTTTTTTGGTGTTGTTTTATTTATTTTATATATAAAAATCCTAAATAGCCATTTTGCTAACTCTACATTGTTTAGTTGCTTAAAAACTGCTTATTAACTGCTTATAAAAAAAAATGTGTCAATAAATCTTGCATCATTTTTGCGACTGTGCCATAGATTAATTAAGACGTGGCTGAATTACAAAAATTTAAGCTACCAGAAAAAAAAATTCTTCTAAGCTACTTTTCCTACTAAATGTATCGAAATGCAAAGTATTATTTTTAATTATCTCTGTAAGATATAGGAGATGACGTCATATTCTCTCACTGATAAGATCTGAAGAATTGGAGATATGTTTAATCAAAAAAGTGCTATCAAACTATACAAAAGTCATTTTATGAAACATCAAAACCATTATAAGATTATCAAAAGGAACACCGGATTTATCACTGATCTCCAGTCAGTTGTTTAATAGTCTTTTAATCATGATTTCTGTAGTGCCATCATGTGCTCTTAGCATTTATGCCAGAAAGTGGTATTTTTGGTAATAAAGTTTACAGTTAATATTTACAGTTAAACTTATATTCACTAATAATTACAATTATTACTCTATGACTAATAAAACATGGTTAAAAATAATACTTAATTTAAAAATAAACTAAATAAAACTGTAGTTTTATTTGATTAAAAGAAAAATTAAGACGTAACTCAATTATTACAATTTAAGCTACCAGAAAAAAATATTCTGAACTGTTTTTCCTTCTTAACCTATTGAAATGCGAAATATATCTCCAATTATAGAATCAGCCACACATTAAAGTCATCTTTTGGCTTGTTGAGTGTGATCTGGCACAGGAACATTCTGGTTCATCGGTGCAGGGCGAAAGGAGGCCAACATGTACGCGAATGAGGGGAAATTATGGTTGAAACGCAGAAGAGGAGCGAGAAAGGGCTTGTGAAGGACAAAGAAAATCAGGCAAAGCGTATCTGGGGGGCCTTTTTGCTTCCCCAAGAGACAGTAAACACTGATTTGAACACAAATGAAGCTCAACTCAAGGATTCACAGTTTGACGGTTAGTTCGGAGAGAGCAGCTGAGCTCTGATTCCATTGTGCTGGAAGCAAATCTGTTTGTCTTTTGCTTTCTGAGGAACAAGAAAACACTGGGTATTTAAACAGGACACAGACTGTACTGAAAGTCTGTAATTCTTTAGTGTTTATATTCTCATCTAAATCTAATGAAACAGTTGCTTCACTGTAAAAATTTTGCGTTCCACACAATCTCTTCCTGTTGTCCCAACAAAAATCGATTAAGATAACTCGATTCCTTTTGCAAATGTAAAAAAACTCAAGAATTGTTGCTCATTTTAAATATGTAGTTTGAACAACCAGCCAAAATAAGTTTTTAAGTGTTGGTGAACAATTATTTATGTGATTTTACCATTTTGACTTTAATTCTCACAGTTCTGATTTTAAACATCTCAATCTCGCTTGAACCACTGCATAATATAGAATAATAAAAGCACAATTGTGAGTTTAAATATGGACGTTTCAGGTTTGTTTCACAATTATGAGTTTACGTTTTGCAGTTATGCATTTATATCCCACAATTACGAGTTTATATTCCACAATTATAAGTTTATAACACAAAATTATGTGTTTACATCCGGCAAATATGAGTTTACATCCAGCAAATATGAGTTAACAATCCTACAATTATGAATTTAAGTTTTAAAATTATAAGTTATGAGATACAAACTATTTACATTTAACAAATTATGACTTTACATCTAACAATTATAAATTCACACCTACAGTAACAATTATGAGTTTACATCCCTCAATTATGAGTTCACATTATAAGTTTCTCGCTTATATAAATTTACATTAGCATATTTGGTTATACATTCCACAAATATGAGTTTACATTTGGCTTTTATGATTTTTCATCTCCTAATTATGAGTTTATGTTTTACAATTGTGAGTTTAAATCCCGCAATTACTAGTTTATAACACAAAATTATAAGTTTCCATCCCTCAAATATGAGTTTATATTTCGCAATTATGAGTTTAAGTCTGAAAATTATGAGTTTTTGTTTTGATATTAAGCGTTTGTGTTGAAATTATGAGTTTACATCCCTCAAATATGAGTTTACATGCCGCAATAATGATTCATCACACAATTATGATTTTACATCTCGCAATTATGAGTTTACATCTCGCAGTTCTCGCAATTATGAGTTAAGTTTTGTAATTATACGTTTGTGTAGCATTTATGAGTTTACATTTCGCAATTATGAGTTCACACCTACAGTAACAATTAAGAGATTACATCTGGCAATTATTTGTTTACATCTTACAATTATGAGTTGACGTCTCACTAAATGTCGCAAATATGAGTTTACATGCCCCAAATATGTGTTTACATGCCACAAATATGAGTTTACATGCCTTAAATATGAGTTTACATGCTTCAAATATGAGTTAACATGCCTTAAATATGCATTTACATTCCTTAAATATTAGTTTACATGCCTCAAATATGAGTATACTGTACATGCTTCAATTATGAGTTTACATCCTTCAATTATGAGTTTACATCCTTCAATTATGAGTTTACACGCTTCAATTATGAGTTTACATCCTTCAATTATGAGTTTACATCCTTCAATTATGAGTTTACATCCTTCAATTATGAGTTTACACGCTTCAATTATGAGTTTACATCCTTCAATTATGAGTTTACACGCTTCAATTATGAGTTTACATCCTTCAATTATGAGTTTACACGCTTCAATTATGAGTTTACATCCTTCAATTATGAGTTTACACGCTTCAATTATGAGTTTACATCCTTCAATTATGAGTTTACATCCTTCAATTATGAGTTTACATCCTTCAATTAGGAGTTTACATCCTTCAATTATGAGTTTACATCCTTCAATTATGAGTTTACATCCTTCAATTATGAGTTTACATCCTTCAATTATGAGTTTACACGCTTCAATTATGAGTTTACATCCTTCAATTATGAGTTTACACGCTTCAATTATGAGTTTACATCCTTCAATTATGAGTTTACACGCTTCAATTATGAGTTTACATCCTTCAATTATGAGTTTACACGCTTCAATTATGAGTTTACATCCTTCAATTATGAGTTTACACGCTTCAATTATGAGTTTACATCCTTCAATTATGAGTTTACATCCTTCAATTATGAGTTTACACGCTTCAATTATGAGTTTACATCCTTCAATTATGAGTTTACATCCTTCAATTAGGAGTTTACATCCTTCAATTAGGAGTTTACATCCTTCAATTATGAGTTTACATCCTTCAATTAGGAGTTTACATGCCATAAATATGAGTTTACAATCTGCAGTTATGAGTTTACTTTTTTGCAACTATGATTTTTCAACTCTTAATTATGAGTTTGTTTCACAATTATGAGTTTATGTTGCAAAATGATAAGTTTATAACACGAAATTATGAGTTTACATCCCACAAATTTGAGTTTAGATCTCACAAATATCTTGAGTTAAGATCCCGCAATTATGAGTCATCACGCAATTATGACTTTACATTCTACAATTATGAGTTTATCTTTTGCAATTATGAGATAACGTTTTGAAATTATGCGTTTATGTTTTACAATTATAAATTTACATCTTGCAATTATCAGTTTACGTTCCACAATTATGAGTTTACATTCCACAATTATGAGTTTACATTCCACAATTATGAGTTCACACCTACAGTAACAACTATGAGTTTACATCCCTCAATTATGAGTTTAGAAGTTACAAGTCTCACAAATCTTGAGTTAATGCTTTCACTCTTGATAACTGACCGTAGTTACAATCCTCCTGATGGCAGCCGCTGCCATTTCTTCTCCTTTAGGTTGACCAACCAGAGTCATGCCCAGATACTTCACATTGAACACCATCCCTTCCAGGAGCGTCTCTTTGGTGTCTGTCCAGTTCTCTGGCAGCTCTAAAACACAAACAACAGAGAGAAGCAATAAAAGTGACTGACAGAGTCTATTAATCCCTAATGGTCTGTCAAGCATCTCCCTTTGTGTTGAACAGAAGAAAGAAATTGGTTGGAAAGAAAGTAATAATAAATGTTCAAATGTTTAAAAAAACAACGGCTCAAAACTGCCTGAAATATGAATGTGAATGTATTGACTGATACTGCAGGATATCAAAAAAAAAAAAAAAAAAAAAGATGTCTGGCAGCCATTATGAAGTAATGATTTTTTTGATGCAATAAATAATGGTCACTTGCAAGCAAACAGTCCATTTGAAAATGTGTGCTTTATGTGCATAGATGGCTGGTTTCACACCTTTTCATCAGAAGAAGAGGGGCTCATTCGCTTGTAAGGAGAAATTTAAAAATCTGTGCCACACAGTGAGCTTTAAATAGCTTTCCGGTCCCTTTTGGGTCCAATACAAAGCCCTGTAGGAGAGTAGAGCTGGATCGAGAAAGATATGCAGAAAGAGCATGACTACACGACAGCCACTGCTAGTGCGCTTCTCTAAAATCTATATAAAGCAAACACTGAAGTGCTGGATGTTCATCTGCTATTGTATCAGAGTGAATTATTGATTATTTTGCTTTCAAGATGACAAGGACCCTTTATCATTATTTTATTTTATATGCTAAATTACTTATGAAAGGTAGAACCATCAGAACTCTAACATTTATAGTTATTTATAGTCATCTTCACAGGTAAACCAAAATGAATTAGTGTGTATGGGTTTCCCAGTGAAGGGTTGCGGCTGGAAGGGCATCCGCTGCGTAAAACATAAGCTGGATAAGTTGGCAGTTCTTTCCACTGTGACGACCCCAAATTATTAAAGGGACTAAGTTGAAAATGAATAATGAATGAATAAGAAAATGAATAATAATAATAATAATAATAATAATAATAATAACAATAATAATAATAATAATAATAAAGTCTTATTATTATTATTTACAATATTACTTTTTATAAGCAAAAACATCAACAAAATGAAATCAGACAGAAAGATTCTACATAATTTTACATTTCATTATGCATATTTACAGTATTACCAGATTTGGTGAAGTGAGCCAGAAGCTGCACCGTTATTTTCTTTTTATTTTCAGTTATTTTCTTTTTTGTATATATTTTGTTATATTATAGCTGATTTCAAAGAACATTCAAAAATAATCTCACAAAGTTTTGTAGTCCAGATCATTGAGTAAAGGTATTTAATTAACTATTAAAGTTGATCTGAAGTTTTACTAAATCAACAAACATTGCTTTTCTCAACTCCTCTTGTCACTTTTTCTACATGCTGTGAAACTTCAATTTTGCTCTCCAAATGGTGTTAAACATTGTATAAAACCAATCAAAAAGCTTAGAAATGTTCAGAAACAGTGACAAAAATGCTGATCATTTGTCAAGTGGAAACCCCATTTAAACTGACAGGGACACGATTTGTCTAGATATCCTTGTGTCAGAAATAGCAGTGCTATGTGTAAAGGCTTGCAGATCACTTCAGTAAGATTCAATACTGTGTAAAGTATAATGTTGTGTAGATGAGAATCACATAGATGATGAAAATGCTGAACAACTACAGTATAATTAAATGTATAATTAAATTGGGCATATCTTCAAAACCATTCAAGGTATGAATTTGAGTAGGATATCCTTTTAAAGTGTGTCCTCTTTTTATTGATGCCAATATCTCAATTTTGAAACTTGAGTCACTGTGACTCATTTTGCTGGATAAGGTCACATTTTATTTATTTAATATGTTTATTTAATTTTTTATTGCTAATATACTCAATTTCTTGTGAAAAAAAACCCATCAGGACCGCAAGTAAAGAGCAGTTTAAGTCCTTTCTTAATCGTTTAGATTCATTAGCACAGGCAAGCCAACGTTTGTCTATATCAAATATGCACTTGTGGCTTGTGCCACTGTAATGCATACAGTATCCTGAAAGGGCATCAGTAGAGGACAGAAGCTCATCTAATGTGACAGCGTTTACTGCTCTGACAGCTCTGCTCTCTGCCATCTGTCCACCAGCAGCAACAGCTGTTTGAGGACACGAACACCATCAGCGCCATCACCGCTAATTCAATCCACAGTCAGTTATTAATGCACAAAACTCAGCTCAGCTCAATAAAATCAACACTCAGCACTTTACTAAATGACCACTACTAAATGACACATTATTGGCTTCTTAAAGAGGACATCTTATGAGATGAAATAAAACTAGAGATGCACCGATTTTATTTTATTTTTACAAAATGTTACACTGATTCCAATACTGATATTGGTCAGTACTACAGTACTAGGGTTTTTCTGAATTAAATACATTTTACTGAACAGGGAATGGATCCATTTAACATTCAACTTTCCAACATTTCAAGAGAGGGACAAGTTGAGATAAAAAATATACAATCTTCAAATCTTCAAACGAGATTTCTATTACCAACATTAACTTTTATTTAACATAAAACATAATAACTTAAAAAAACAGTCCTACATCTGTTATATGTAAATTATCTGATGTGCTACTCTAAAAAAATGACTTACTAAATATTTAAGTAATTTTTTTTATCGCCCAAGACATTTTAGACCAAACTAACAAATGGGTTTGCACCATTGCTTGATCATGGTGCACACCAGTTGCTTTCCCTATACAGTTTTGATATTTTAGACACTCAAAAACTCAAATCTTATATCGTTTCATTATTTTGTTTTATAACCAATATTCAATGATCTTTCTCAGGAAAGAACAATGGATCATTAAAAAGATTTGCAGCTAATTTCTTTCATGCAGTTAAATGGGTATCCGCCTTTTCATATTACTGCAGACATTACTACGGACAGCTTTAAATGAATCCGATATCTGCCAAAATAATCTGCAGCCGATACATCGGTGCATCCCGAAAAAAAGAAAGAAAAATTAATCCCCAAAATATGTGCTTGATTTCAAAACAAAATACTCAACAGATCACAGCTTTCCCCATTTGTGTGCAAAAAACATGCCATCTTTATGTGTGTCCCTTTAAATGCAAATGAGACAATTACATAATATACAGTAATACATTATAATATTTACACTGGCATTACAGTAGTTACTTAAAACGTTAGCAGACCTGTTCCCTTGAAAGCAACAAGTTGACTTTATTTTAAAAATTGAGTAAACATGTTATGACTTGCAACTGTTAAATAGACTTAATTTTTAACATGTCATTTATTTAATTAGAAGGCAACAGGTTTACTCGTCTTTTAAGGTAAAGCCAACTGAATACTTTAAAATTTATAGATTTACTAGCCTAATCTCACAAGGAAACGTAACTGTTGTTTGTTTAGTCAGTTCAGTGGCTAATTCGTACGAATTTGTACAAGTTCAGTTGTACAAAAATGTACAATTTTTAAAAAGATACATGGCACCCAACCCAGCACCATCCCTAAACCCAACCATCATTGGGGGATAAGCAAATCGTACTATGATTGTACAAATGAGATTGCATAAATTAAAACATATTGTACGAATTGTAGTGAGATAGTGTTGGGTTTACTCACTTTTTAAAAGTAATGTCTGAATAATTTTTAGAGTGGGTAACACTTTAGTTTAGGTCCCAATTCATGGTATTAACAAACCATTAACTAACACTACTAGTTTAATAACTACTAATTAGCTTTTTTATAATGGTTAGTAAGTTAGAAGTTGGGTTTAGATTTTGGGAATGCAGAATAAGCTCAGGTAACACTTTATTTTGATGGTCCATTTGAGTGTCAGTAGACTGTCTGCTAATTCAACAGATATTTAACTGACTATAAGAAACTTTGCAAGTACATGTTAACTTACATTCACCCTAGCCCCAACCTAACAATCTATGTTATAACCACTAATGAACAGTTAATATCTTATTATTAGGCAGGTAATAAGCCAGTAGTTAATAGCAAGAATTGTGACCTAAACTAAAGTTTTACCTTAAAAGTGTAAAAATAATAATAAGATAAAAAAGTTATTGGGTTGTCCTTTTTTATGTTTTCAACCTGATTATAGCTATCACATTTCATGACACATGTCCCAGTTAAAATGAGCTGCGGGCGATGGAAACACAGCAGAAGTGTCCAAACGCTCTGAGGGTGACTTAACAGGCATGTATAATCTCATGTTGCAGAACACTTGTCGCCCTGAAATCCTAGTGCGGATGCTGACATGTGCAAATCTTGGGCCACAATAATGCGGCAACTAGTGCAGCTCTGTAACTTGAGGGAAGCAACATACTGTACGTTCACCAGAATGCTATATGAATAATTGATCAGACTCATGTTGATGCTCCAGGCCCTCACTCAGATTAGATTGAAGTAGATTGAACTTGTTGATGTTGATGTGAACAACTTTGCAAAGGTATAAGGGCAATATAACAAAGCAATTGATATATATTTTGTACCGTTTTAGCCAGCAGCGGGATGCAATTAAAGAAGGAAGACAAAACAAAAAAGCAGGCAGTATTATGTGTATGGTGCCAGTGTCATTTTTAACAACACATAATTTGACGTCTGGGTTGGTGCATGTGTGTCTGCGTGATATAGAGTGATCCGATTTGTGCAAACATGAAATGCGATTACCACAGACGGTGAAACGTAGCATAACCGCATTTGTGTCTCCGCTAGACAAAAGCTGCATGGCATTTCTCCAGACTGAGGTTTTTTCAATGAGGTTTTGAGGGTTTATATCAAAATAAATCTACTTAAATATGTTGTTTAGCATATTTTTTTCTCAGAAGGATTTTGATAGGTTGAGATTACATCTAGAACCTCTCATAACATTCCACTAATGTTAGTGTATGGTTCCTGTTTGTTTATTCTTTTGGCAGCCAATTTATGAGTTTATAATGTTTTTTTTTTTTTACTTTATTAATATGTTGCTAGGAGTTTTTCATTGTTGTTGTTGTTAATCATTCTTTAACAGTCCCTTCTAAACAGTAATCACAGTAA